ACTCACTGTCCACACAGTGACTCACCCCTGCCCCGCCTCCAGTGGAACCAGGCACCGAAATAGTCACCCTGGCTTGCTCTGGGGAGTGGCCGCGGAAATATTTCAGGGCTGCGTTCAATGCCTAAAAATAATCTCTGCATCCCGAGTGTCTTCCCCTCCCTAGTCCCTCTTCTGAACCACATGGGCCAGGACCTTTCACGCCACGCCCCTCGGCCCGTGGAATGTCCCCAGCCAACAGAAGGAGCCCTGGCCTCCCTGTCTCCATGCTGCTGTGGAGCTACTCTGACACTTCCCAGGGCCCTGTCAACCAAGCCTTTCTGAGACCCCAGAAGTCTTTGGGGAGAGAAGGCCTGGCCTCAGTGACCTAGTCCAGGGAGACCTGCACTGCTCAAGAGTTCTTCCTTAAGCATTGAAAAATAGTACCAGGTCCAGTGTCCCTCACCCGTGATCCCAGGGCTCAGGAGGCTGAGCCGGAGGATCGAGGGTTCAAAGCCAGCCTCAGCCACTTATTAAAGCCCCAAGCAACTCAGTGAGACCCTGTCTCAAAAAAAATAAGAAGAAGGCTGGGGATGCGGTCAGTGGGCTAGTGACCTGGGTTTGATGCCCAGTACAAAAAAAGAAAAGAAAAATGTTCTGTTTGTATTCCCAAGATGACCTGAAGCAGGTCCCCAGCTGGACTGATCTCCACCCCTTTGCCCACACACTGACCATGGTCCTTTCCTTCCCCAGGGTGGGTGGACAGTCCCCTCCATGACTTCCAATGTCCTCACCATCATCAACCTCCTGGTCACACTCAGTAGCTCCTGTGGCCTCAAAGAGTGGCCAACCACAAGCACTTCAGCTTCCTGGAGACCAGAAGGAGGTGAGGCGGGGGCCAGGGCTAGGGGCCTTCTGCCTTTCGGCCCATCGGCAGGGACCCAGGGTCTCAGTCCTCTGAGGCCACCGGCTGGAGAGTGTGGCAGGTGCAGGTGCCCCAAGCTGTGGTGGAAAGGCAGCAAGTGGCGG